CAAAAAAATATTGATGGAACAACAGAAGAGCTTGAATAGCTAAAAAGCTCATGACTAAGAAGAAAGATAATGGACGCATTACAATCCCAAACTTCAAGCTATACTACAAAGACATAATAATCAAAATTGCATGGTACTGGAACAAGAACAGACATACAGACCAGTGGGTTTGGATAGAAAACCCAGATATAAGTCCATAGGTTTATGGGCAGCTAGTCTTTGACAAAGGAGCAAAGAAGATACAATGGAACAAAGAAATGGTGCTGGGAAAACTGGGAAGCTACATGCAAAAAAAAAGAAAAGAAAAGAAAAAAGAAACTAGATCACTACCTCTCACCATACACAAAAATCAACTCAAAAGACTAAAGATTAAAGACCTAGACGTAAGAATGGAAACCATAAAATACCTGCAAGCAAAGATGGGCCAAACACTACATGATGTACACTTCAGCAACATCTTTAAAGACAGAGCACCAATGCAAGGATAGTGAAGGCAAGGATAAATAGATGGGACTACATCAAGTTAAAGAGCTTCTGTACAGCAAAAGAGACATTACAGAAAACAAACAGACATCCCACTTATTGGGAAAAATTTTTTCTCACACAAAACCAGTGATAAAGGACTGATCACAAAAATATATGGAGAACTGATGAAACTCAACAAAAATAAACAACCCCATCAAAAAATGGGCAGAAGAGCTACAAAGACACTTCTCCAGAGGGGAAATGCAGATGGCCAACAAACATATGAAAAAATGTTCAACATGGCCCTCCCTGGTGGCGCAGCGGGTTAAAGCACTGCACTGAGAAGCTAAAGCCACTTCCACATGAGTTTGATTCCCGCCTGCCCCGGAGGAGACCACATGGCCGTGGCAGACCTCTCCTGACCCGCTCGCTGCTCCCCTCAGCAGTGTACTTCGTCGATCTGCCTGTTCTGCTCCCCACTCTGTCTCTGGTGAAGCCTCTCACCGCCCCTGAGCCTCTGGCCTGTACCCCAGTTCTGTATGTACAAATAAATAAATCTTTAAAAAAAAAAAATGTTCAACATCACTTGTACTAAGGGAGATGCAAATTAAAACCACAATGAGATACCACCTCACCCCAGAGAGAATGGCACATCTTAGAACAACTAGCAACAACAAATGTTGGTGAGGATGTGGAGAAAAAGGAACACTCCTTCACTGCTGGTGGGAATGCAAACTAGTACAACCACTATGAAAAACTGTTTGGAGGTGCCTCAAACTGCTAAACATGGAGCTTCCCTATGACCCAGCAATTCCATTCCTAGGTATCTACCCAAAAGACAAAAACACTAATTCAAAAAGATACCTTCACCCCCATGTTTACTGCTGCTTTATTTACAATTGGAAAGACATGGAAACAACCCAAATGCCCAAAATGGATGACTGGATTAAAAAGATGTGGTACATGTACACAATGGAATATTACTCAGCAAACAAAAAAAAACACATGCCTTTTGCAGCAACACGGGTGGAGCTAGAAAAGGTCGTGCTTAGTGAAATAAACCAGAAAGAAAAGGAAAAATATCGATGGTTTCACTCATAGCAGGAATATAACGGGTCAGGCAAGAAAATAATGATAATAATGAACAGATATATACCAGACTCATTTTATGGGGTGGAGTGGGAAATGGGATAAAAAACAGTGGGGGGAAGAAATGCACTGGAGTGTGGTGATGGCACATGGTGATTTGGTGATGGGAAGCCCAAGGGGATTACAACTAAAATGGAAAAAATGCACATAATGATGTAAAAATAAACTATTATATTATTCAAAAAAATTATGTGAATTGAGAACTCACATATTCTATGAGTCAACAGTTCCACTCCTGGGATAGACCCCAAAGAAATTTTTATGCAAACATATAAAGAGTTGTGCATTAAACTGTTCATTGCAATATTGAAAAGTCTATCTTAATTGGAGATCTTGAAGGCAAACCTGGCTGTCTATCATTGGGAGAGTAAATAGCTAAATTGTGGTAATTAGTACACCATGAAATATTACGCAACAAGCAGAAGTAATGGATAAAATGTATAAACAGCAACATAAATGCATGTAAGAAATACAGTGATCAATAAAAAATATGAAAAAAAAAAAGAGATTCAAATACTCTACCAAGGCCTCCCTGGTGGCACAAGGGGTTAAGTCTCAGCATCAAGCTATTGTTAGACACTACAACTTGAATTGGATCTCTGACCAGAGAGGTGACCCTCATGGTGCAGCACACCTCTCCTGACCTACCCACTGCTCCCCTTAGCAGCGTATTTCAGTGTATTTGCTCCCTACTCTGTCTCTGGTGAATCCTTTCACCCCTGCCCTGTAACTCTGGCCTACACCACAGTTCTTGTACACATAAATAAATACTATACCACTTACATAAATTAGAAATACATCCATACAAGACAAAATTTCACAGTTCATAAGAACATATGTAAACAAAGAGATATACATCAACTAGAACTTAGTTGCCTGCATGGGGAAGGGAAAGGAGGAAAAGTAAATAATGGATAAAATTTAAAGTGTTCATCTCTAACCAAAGCTGGTTAAATTGCCACAACCTCAGCACCAAAGTCAAATTTACCAATCAACAAATGAACAGAAAACTGGAAGAAAAGACAACAAATGTTGCACAATTTGTAAACTCCAAATTTTTTACAATGACCTGTTGCTTTTGAAAAGTAAATGTATAATCAGAATAAAAAATATCATTTGGAGGAATATGATTCAGTGGTAGGATGAGGGTGTGCAAAAGACACATTTTGGAAAAAAACACAAAACATTTCTGTCCCTTGTATACAGAATGAGAGAAATCATGAATGACTATTTTCTTGTTAAAAGTACCTTAACTATTGAAATCATGCTTGTAAAATAAATCAACATCAAGGCAAAACAAAAATTAACTCATGAAATAGCAGTACCTTTAAAAAACATCCAAACGAGGTGACTGAATGTTTGGAAGTGGGCCTGATGAGATGTACAGTTGTTGAGGTGAGAAAATGTGTTCCTGGGATCTACACAGTGTTCTAAAGTAATGTTACCTCAATAAGAAAGAAAAAGAAAAAAATTAGGGTTCATAAAAGGAAAAAATGGAGTCTTATTGCTGACATTTCTCTCCAAATTCTATATGAAATCACTATCTTTATCCTGGGGTATTGAAGATATGACACAACTGGCAGAGAATATACCTGACCAATCAGAAAACCATGTTGATAGCAGGCTAAGATCCCTAAAACACATCACCCTACATGACAGTCTCCAGCCCCAAGGGAGAATGTTCCAACTAGGTAGTGGAAGCCTTGCCCTTTTGCACAGTAGAAAACTCTTATGCAACTGAAATAGGTATAAATTTGAACAGTGCCAAAATATGCTGCTTTAAAATGTGCAACTTTGGCCTAAGTATTATTTTCAGCTAAACTTGAAAACACAATAGACACAAAAGGGACACTTTGATCACCCCCTTTTCTTCCTCAATGGAAGATATAACTCCCACATGAAGTTGCCCTCCATATATGGGAAGAAAACATTCTTATCAAGGACAGGAAGTTGACACAGAATTCTGCAGTAACAGACCTTATTAAAATAATTCTTAACCTCAATATCCTCATGTTAAGTTCCTTTTAGTACACACCCCCTTCAGATGTGTACTATCAGACAAATGCATGCATTCTGCAAGAGTTAGCTTAAAAGACTTTCTTTGTGAAATCTCCTAAACTACCAGCCAGAGTTCATTCTTTCAACTAATATTTATTGAGCACCTACTGAGTTCCAGATCCTGTGATGTCATGTCCTAGCTGCTTTGAGGTCCAACTCTCCACCTAGCCTAGTATTAGTCTTTAGTGTATTCCTACAAAACTAAGAAGGAGGCAGTTCGCATTTAATCCTCACAGCCAAGTTTGCAGTAAGTTCTGTTTTCAATCCATTTCCCAAATGTGACAAATGAGGCACAGCAAAGTTAGATCACTTGCCCAAGGCAAGTCAGCTGGTAAGTGCACAGAAACAAAAATAGACTTCTAGTGGTCCTGAACAGCTGGAATCAACCTAGATGTATCACTTCTTACTATGAAAAGAGTGTCATAGTTCATTCAATTACTTATTTATATGTTTGATTTTTGAGAAATATTTTAAAAGAGGAAAATTATTCTGTGCTTACTTTTCCCTAAAAAGAAATCTTTTCCTATGGAATGTTGCCTGCTCTTCACATCTCATTGTAATGGATATTCATTCACTCATTTAGCAGCCTAGGACAATGGAAGGATAAGCTTTGGAAGCAGAAGAACTTGGGTTCAGAACAACTTGATCCTGCCTCCTAAGAGCTATTTGACCCTGAGCAAGTGACTTGCCTGATCTAAGCAGTTTCTATTATCTGTAAAATGAAGATAATCATGGTATGTTTTACAATGGCTGCTGTGAGGGTTAAATGAGCACATTCCAAGAGCTCCTCAAATTTATAAGAAAGTGCTTTATAATTTGTAAAGAGATATTGAATGTACACGATAAAGCAGGTGGTCCTGAAAAGGTAAATATCTAACCAGCAAACAAGTAAGAGTTATTTTTAAATTAGGGGGAAAAAAAAAAAGAGCCGCCACAAAGTTTCTTTTTTTGCTAAGAGGAAGTCTGATTTTCTTTTTAAGTGCTTGGTGCATCTGCAAGAAGAAAACATCACCAGCCACAAGTATCATCACAACTAATTATTCAGGAACTACTAAGAAATCCCTGGATGTACCAAGATAAATCAAAAGTGAGGATCAAGTCAAGTTTGTTTACTCCCATTCAATCTAATTTCCACCATGATAATGATAGTGATAACATACTACTATATGTTAACTATATATCAGGTACAACGCACATTTCAGCCCTACAAAAACTTCATGAAATGGAAATGATCACTCCCTTTCCACTGTCAAGGAAAAAGAAACCCCAAGAGGTGATGTGACTTTCCCAAAGTTGTACCAAACAAAAGAGGGTGGGATAGAGATACAAACTCAGTATTTATTCAAAATCAGCAAGCTCCCCAGATTTTGTCAAATTCTTGAATATTCTAAGCAGCATCATTTGCCTCTGAGTGTTAACAATTTCCCCCCAGTTACAGTTCATCCTTCTGATCAACCCAACTTCTTCATTTTTACCCCAAAATGCCCTTGCCACATTATCTCCCTCCACCTGCCCATCAATTACTGGTTCCTCAGCAGAATCCTCTTCGCCTTCCTTTTCTTTGGTTCCTCAGATGTCATCTTCCCCTTCCTCTTCTTTGCCTTTTATTATCAGTCTATTCTTCCTGTTTCCTTTTTTCCATTTCTTCATATAATTCTCTCCATTGCTTCTCCACATCCTGTTTAGAATGCGGAATTTCAAAATAATTTACAGATGGTATAAACAACATTAACCCATTTTAGAAGTGTCTGACACCATCCCACACTATTAAAGATTTTGTTTACATAAAAATTTTCAGTATGTGTGGTGTGAGTATAATTTGTTCATAAATAAAGTTGGTTCAGATTCAACAAACATTTTCTAACTGCCTATGATAATGCTTAACACAGTGCTAGACAATCTACACACATGATTTCTATTTCTCACAGCCTTGAACAAGCTAGATGTTACAAATCTCGCATTCCAGATGAGAAATCTGACTGAGGTTCAGGATCATTAGATGACTTGCTTAAGCTATTTAGTTAGTGAGTGGTAGAACTAGAATTAGAAAGAAGGTTTTGTGGCTCTCAGTCTGACCCTTTTCTGCTACATCACAGTAACAAAACCTTTGGGAACTCTTTGAATTTGCTTTTGAGCTGTGACCAGTACAAACTTATATTAAGTCAGAAATGGAAGTCCATCAGTGTCCCTTAATGTGTTCATCTAAGTGCCAGAATATGATTTCTAGAGCTATTTTCATAAGTCTTTCTATTAAGAAGGAACTTAAAGGAAGGACACTTAGTCTAAATTCCCCTAGCATTTTAACCCTCACCTATAGTATCTGGGCCAAGTGGCCTTTTACCCAGTACAAAACTACATTGAGAATCTGCTTGCTCAGTAAAATGAGTCCTTCTAGAATCCTGCAGGAAAACAATGCCTGACACTTTATTGTGTTCACCATAAGATTAGAGAGAAAAAAACCTCTATCAATCAGGCCTTCATTTTCTTATGCCTAGAAAGAAATAGCTATAATTCACTTTTTCTTTCTTTTTCCACTCCCACTCCCCCAAATATGCTCTCCCTTATCTCAGTAATTCCATCCTCTAGTCACTTGGGTCAAATATCTTGGAGCCATCCTTTTCTATACCCACTCATATTCCATATCTAACCCTTCATTCCTGTGAGTATTATCTTCAAATGGATCTAAGCATTCCCATTTATCGCCACTACTACCACCTGTTTCCACCTTTTTTCCATTATAGTCTTTTTTAATTGCTGGGGTTTTTTTTAGATTTATTTATTTATGCATATAGAACTGGGGTACAGAGGTGCAGGAGCAGTAAAGAGGATTCATCAGAGACACAGTGGGGAGCAGAACATACAGACTGACGAAGAACACTGCTAAGGGAAGCAGCGGGCGAGACAGGAGAGGTCTGCTACCCCATGTGGGTCAGCTCCCTGGCATGGGATAGAACTCATGCTGAAGTGGCTGTGGCCAGAGTTTTGCCTTAACCCATTGCACCACCAGGAAGGGCCCTAGTTTGTTTTGCTTTTTATAATGACATAACAGCTAGAGTAATGTTTTGAACTTTGGCCAGTTCATATCACTCCTCTGCTAGAAACAACTCCAACATGTTCCCATTTTACACAAGCATATGACCCTAACTATTCTGGCTCTCTCTCTCACCCAGCTCTAGGTACAGTGGCCTCCTTACTCTTGAAACAAACAAGGTATGCTTCTATCTCAGGTGCTATGTCTACTGTTCTACCTAAAGCCTTTTATTCCCTAGATAGCTGCATAATTTGCTCATTAATTCTTCCAAGTCTCTTTAAGGCTTACTCAAAGAAACCTCCCTGACCATCCCTACTTAAAATGGCAGCCCCCCTCCCATGATGATCATAGCCATATTGCTTTATTGCTGCTTACAGCAACTAAAACCATGGCCTGAGCTCAATAAGTATTTGTCAAGTGAACGTATGGTTTAATATAATAGGTACCATGTATTGAGTACTTACTACAGTCTATTTAACTATAAGACAGTGGTTATCATCATTTCCAATTTAAAAATGAGAAAACCAAACTAAGATCAGAGAGTTTAAGTGATTTGCCTATGGTATTGCATGTAATAAGTTAGAGAGGCTAGATTTGTATTAAGCAATCTAGCTATAAAATTTATGCTGTATGACACTGCTGTACCAAAACATATTAGATGATAATCTCGAAGTAAAAACAAACCAAAGGCAGACTAAAAAGTGTAAAGATACTTAATCATTTTCCCCCTATGATGACCACTTCAATGTTTCTTTGGAAATAAGCAATATCAAAGCTCCCTCAAAATTTTTTTCTCTGTTGCCTGTGCTTTGCAGGTGTTTTAAGCATGAGCTTAGTTTGCCTATTGAGCAATTCAATGCTGGCCAAAAACCTGCTTGAAAGGATCTTCTTGTAGAACCAGGAAGTCTAAATGCAGGGTGTCACCATCATGAAGCCATTGTCCCAATGATCATTCCACCCATGAAATAATTCTGAGAGAGCAGGGAAGCTGGTTAACAACACTGACACCACCCTTCCGTCTCCAAGCCTTCTTTCAGAAATGGGTTCAGTGGCTCCTTTCTAAATACCACACTGTAAGTTCTGGGCTCAAATCTAAATCAACAAGTTAAAGGCTGTTTGTGTACTTGGGCAGAATGAATGTATATATCCTAAATCTCACTTCTTCCATCTGGAAATTGGGAATAATCATATCTATCTTGCTAAGTTCATTTTAAGCATTAAATGGGATAAGCACAAAGTTGTAAATATCCAAAGAATGTGAGTTCTTTTCCCACACCTCTCGAGCCCCTGGCCCACCAAATGAGGCAATAACTGTGTGAGCTGATTTTTAAAATGCAAAGAACAAAGCACAACTCAGGAGTCAGATAATCTAGGGCAGGTATTAGGGTGGGAGAGTATCTTACTTTTCTTAATCCCCAGGTTTTACTTTGGACCTCATCAGCAAACTTCATCATTTGTAAGAAGGAAATTCTCAAAGATGCTGCTTGATTTCACTTGTTGAAATGAAAACAGTAGGCTGGTTAGAGATAGTGCAAAGGATTTTTAAAAAATCACCCAGGAGATGGCCCTCCCTGGTGGCGCAGCGGGTTAGAGCACAGCACTGAGAATCTGAAGCCACTTCCGCATGAGTTCGATTCCCGCCTGCCGCCTGCCCCGGAGGAGACCACATGGCGAGCCAGACCTCTCCTGACCCGCCCGCTGCTCCCCTCAGCAGTGTACTTCGTCAATCTGCCTGTTCTGCTCCCCACTCTGTCTCTGGTGAAGCCTCTCACCGTCCCTGAGCCTCTGGCCTGTACCCCAGTTCTGTATGAATAAATAAATCTTTAAAAAAAAAAAAAAAATCACCCAGGAGGTCCTTGCTAAATACAGATTATCATCCCATGCATCCAGATTTTAACAAAAATTAAAGTAGAATGAGGGGATAGAAAGGTAATTATAATACAGGGGATACAGAATGCTATACGGACCTATCTGACCCATTCTAGAAAGCAGTTAACTGTTTCCTGAGGTTCTGAGTTCAAGTGTCTAATCACTATTTTAGAGGGTGGTAGAGATATTTTTGTCTTTCTGATAGGTTCTAGATTGTTGCCCAGTGCCAAGACATCACCTTTCTCTGATATGACTTATAGATACACTTACTAAGTTATGTAACCCCTCTGAGTCTATTTCTTCATAAGAAAAATAGAAAAAATAATAACTCCTTTCCTAGGATGTCATGAGAATTAGAAATAATTTATGTGAAGCACAGTGTCTGGCAGATAATTGTCACTCAACAAATGGTAATAGTTATTAATATAATTTTTTGGTATCTGGATATGTTTCGAAAGGAGCAAGAGGAGATTCATTTTATATGAGTGTATATATACATACACACACACATATGTGTGTATATATATATATTTTTTACTTTGACAGTTGGCTAAATAAATCAGCAAGTTAATTGTGTAGAAGCAATATTGTAGCCAAGAGAAAGTACAGCATGAATTATGGTTCCCTCCTCTAGGGTCTGAAAAAAAAAAGTGTTTTTATTTGATTCATATCATCCCAACAATCTTGCTTCCAACTGAAAAATAAGAAACAAAAAGCCAAATTGAATAGAGATCGTGGTTTTGCTTTGAGGCATTTTAAAAATCAATTTTAATAATTCCTTGTACAACTTTATATTTTCTTACCTAAGGGATTTTTTTCTCCTTTGAGTTGTCAGCAGTCTTAGAAAACTACTTATTTGTTGGCTTTTCCATTTTACCAGCCCCCATGAGAAATGGTCCTTATTTTTCCTGTTCTTCAGTGCCCCTTTTCACCCTCTCCCTTACACAAAACTTATGACTCTGCCTCCAACTAATTGTGGACATAAGGGCTGCTTACCAGTTGAATGACCTTGGTCACTCTTATTGGATCTAAAAGGCTTCTACCTTTTTATCTAAAATTGGATGAAAATACACCTTCTCTGTTTTTTCATACAGTTCTCAGAAGAAAAAAAATCACATTAAAAAGAGCTTGGTTAGACTGTAAAACCTAAAAAGTTAATTTACTGGTTAAAATTACCGGTTTTTTAATGCTGTTCCACTTGGACCATAAAATGGAAAGAGTATATAGTTTTGGGCATCTATTCACTATGGGAGTTTGACACATCAAGTCACTTTTCTGAGTCCAAACTTTTTTTTAAGACTTATTTTTATGCATACAAGAACTAGGGTACAGGCCAGATGCATGGAGGTAAGAGGACTCACCAGAGACAGAATGGGAGGCAGAACAGGCAGATGTACTGAATGAAACACTGCTGAGGGGAGCGGCATTAGGACAGGAGAGGTCTGCCATGCCATGTGGGTCAGCTCTCTTGCTGGGGATTGAACTTGTGCTATGGTGACTATGGATAGCTTCATAGTGCTTCACTTTAACCCACTGTGCCACCAGGGAGGGCCCTGAGTACTGGACTTTTCTTACCAGTAAAATGAAGATTGCAAGTCCTATCCTCCCAGTCTCAAGGGGCGGTGATAGTCAATATGACTTAAGGATATCAAAGTGCTTTGTGTTATAGCGAGGCTATATCCATTGCATTTTGAGTCACTTTTCCCTCAAAAATCATAAGGAATCGAAAGAGAAGAAAAATCATTTTCTTGCTTTCTGGGCTCCAACCTGTTTTGGAT